TATATGAACTAGTCCAGAGTACCACATCTTTATACAGCACACAAAGTGTTGAGACATCTTAAAAGGACACCAGGTCAAGGCTTATTTTATCCTTCTATATCTAATCTCTAGCTGAAGGGTTGTTCAGATTCAGATTGGAGAGCCTTCCAGATACTAAGAGATCTGTGACATGTTATTATGTTTTCATAAGTTCATCACTAGTATCATAGAAGTCAAAGAAACAAAATGTGGTTTCAAGATCATCCTCTAAAGCTGAATACAGAGCAATGGCACAAGTCTGTTGTGGATGAGATATTTATTTTAAGCTATACATATTGAACATAGCCGGGCAGCAAGATTATACTGTGATAAAAAGTTTGTCGTCTATATTGCTACAAATCCCGTTTTCCATGAAAGAACCAAATATATAGAAATTGTCTGTCATCTTTTTCGAGACAAAATAAAAAGTAGAAGCATCGCTACTGAGTATGTTCACACTGTTTCTCAAATGGTAGACATGTTAACCAAGGCTTTGAATTCTTCAAGTCTTTACTCACACATGATTGAGTAGTTGATATCTACTCTCCATCTTTCGGATGTTGTTAAATGGTGATGAATAACCTGATCAGCTGGCAAGTGACTTGTCCATTCAATCATAAGCTCGAGTGATATAATCATTCAATGGTGATCCAACAAGGAGACAATAATCTAGAAGCAAAGGAGTCTAGAAGCTTTACCTTACTAGCATTCTGTTATGTACATTCATTCTACCATTCTTTCTGTTTTCTTTGTAATAGATTCTTTGCTTTTTACACATCATTAATAACGCTATATTAGTTGTAAAATCCTTTCACGAAAGATAGAAACATATACATACGAAAATTACTCTGCAAGTTTCTTGTTATTTGTCATAATCCTTTCTTATTTCTTATAGACCTTCAATGGAGCTTTGGAGCAGAAAATATGAGTGTGTCCGTGTTTGGTTTTCTTTGAACTTAGCCTAAAAAGCGATTTTTAATTCTTGTGATCACGGTTTCAATTCAATGGGCTAAGGCGTGTTTCTTTAAATGACCTGGCATTTGACTTTTTATTTGAGTAATGGTATTTACCGTCGTTCGCTACCGTAATCGCCCTACGTGGTATACATGTGGCGGTTGGTGATTTGATACATTAATGTGGTAGTTTTTTATTGCCTAATGCATCAAATCACTAACCGTCACATGTATGGAACGTAAGGCGATTTCGGAGGTGAGCTGCAAATAACATTATTCTTTTTTTATTTTGGAGAGAGTTAGCTGTCATGTGTAAATTCCGTCTTCCACGTAGGCACGAGTTATAAACGAAATTTAGTTGGTGTATAATGGAGTGCAACTGTATAAAGTTTAGTGAATAATGATGTACAATTTAAAGTACCGTCTTCCACGTGACCACACATTTTGGTGTATATTCAAACATTTAACTCGTTCAACATTATCATCATATCATGTATCTAAAAGATATTTTCACCATCAGCCACCAACTATACCAAGTATCGCCATTGAGTCCTTGTTGAAAATTTATTATCACTCAGATCCCAAACTTTTGATTATGGTGGAAGTTAGTCCAATAGTATCTAAATCGTCAAAATAGCTGTTAAACTATCTCATGTCCTACACGTGGTCCGTTATGGCAATATTGATTCCGTCCTATCCTTGTATTTATTAACATCAAATTGAAAATGGGATAAACGGAAAAAAAAATTATTTATCTTCGACCACAATTTTTTTTTTACCACCACGGCCATCAAAATTGTGTAGCACTCGTTGCTGCTGTGCTAAAATGTATTCAGCCAACTAGAAAAATACACGTCTCTTGCTTTGAACATTTCTTGGAATATGATTCTTTGCACTTTTTCTGTGTAGTTATGGCTATAATAATATGTTGTTGATGAGCTCCTCTGTTAACAAATAAATTGAAAAGGCCATTTGCAAAAGTTCTTATGTTAGTTTGCCATTATACGAAGGGCTGCATTAGTGATTATGTTTAACCACCTCATGATAATAAGTCGCCTATGGTCTCAAAGTTTTTAGGACTGGCCATGTAATTAGCAATTAATTTGGCTATTGATTATTTTCTTGGTAACGTGTTCAATATTTAAAAGGGAGGGGACAAAGGCCTAGGTAAAAGTTCCATGGTTATTGAATAATGGCTCTTCCTTGTCTTATTGAAGATTTTGGATTGTGGTTTGAGTAATGTAATTTATCATCATGATGATAGAATATTGGTAATGTGGCATCCCATCATTTCTTACATTTCTCTCTCTCTCTCTCTCTCTCATAAAAAATGAACTGCTCAATATCAATATTTCACATAGACCGCAACATCACCGATATTCCATCATCATAATGATAAATAGCATTATTCTTGTGGTTTTGTTTTGGATTCATGGAAGATGGTTGCATCGTGTTTATATTTTTGGCTTGGGCTTATTTTCTGATGATTTTTTGTGTTGAACTTGTCAAAAAATGGGAAAGTAACCTTATGTTCAAAATCTTGAAATGCTGTTGGTTTTGTTAGTAGATGGACATTGTATTGGATTAACTGATGAACTATTTGGTATTGAGTTCTTGGAAGTTGTATAGTGCCTCAGTGTAATTAGTGTCTAGTTTGGCAATGTGCACTAATACAGGAGTACGATTTAGTAGTAATTCGATGAATAAGAATTTAAAATATGTTTAGTATTGAAGGATGTGGAATTGTTATGGTATTTGCTGTATTGACTATTGTAGAGGAATTATTTCAATTTCAATTACCAAAATAGATTAAAGACAAATGTTGGATTCTATTGTTAATTTATCTAAACAGTTTACTACTAAAAGAAAAACAAATGTTATGCTTTAAGATTGGATTCTTTCGATAGATTATTCCAGAATGTTTTTTGTATTTTTATTTTACTATGCGGTGAATTTGAGTGGTGCATCGTAATGGACATGGTGGGAGAAGCCACATTTTGATTTCTTTTGTAGATAGAAGAAGCACAGCCTAACATGTTCTAATACAATAAATTTTGATCATCTTTTCTGTCGTCATTTTATTTACGATCTCACATTTTATTAGTCAATTTAGCTTTCTTTTAAAACTATGATTGTGAATATTCATGAACTGATTCCTTTGCTACAGTTTATTGTGAAGGACATATCCTTAGAATGGTAGTGTGCAGAGTTTTAACACATCTTGGATAAACTCGCTTCTTGTTACAATATCACGAGGAACCGTACGAATTTTATGGATTTAAGGGACTGAAAGCAGGGACGGATTTAGGGGGGGCTGGGGAGGGGGCCCCTTGCCCCCAAAAAAAATTTTTTTACTTGGGGAAAAAAAATAATTTTCATGTGTAATTTTATTTTTTTTTACGTATTACCCCCGTCGTCCGGTCCTGGATCCGTCCCTGACTGAAAGTAAACGCCTATAACTTGGATGAGTACCATAATTCGAGGCTGAAGAAATTGGCAAGATATGTGCTTGGAAAAGAGGTGAATAAACTTATGAGGGTGGGATGATGAGTACTTGTCTCTTGATTAAGTGCAATATGCTTGTCTTGATGCTTCCATCTCTTTTGATATTGGAAGGGTCTTGAATGCTTCCAGGTAACTCAGATCACTGTTACACATATTGGGATTTGGATAATGCTTGTTGCAGATAATTTAGGTACATATATGGGTAATGTGATAATCCGATAGTTCACGTGAAAGTGTATGATTTGAATTAATTGTTGGATATGTGCCTTATGTAATTATGTGAACCATTACATGAAAATATACGTACCCCTAGCAAAGTTCTTTTCCAATATTTTCGTGAACAGATCGTGAGGACTGTTGGTATCTTCTATGAATGATGTGTCTGTTTTCTGCATTTTGATATCTTGTTGCTTTATCATGCCTCTATTTGTTTTATTTTCTTGATTTTCGTAATGTTTATCTCTGCTAGAAAGAGATGAATGAATATCAGAGCTTGTTTGGGAGGAATTAAAATCAGATTAAAATTGAAAATATAGTCGTTGGAGTTGACTTTTATTAGACGAGTGGGACCCAATAACGACTATATTTTCAATTTTAATTGAATTTTAATCCTTCCCAAACAAGCTTTCATTGTTCACCTCGGAAAATTGAAATAATAATAAAAAAAACTCAAAACGGGATTTTCGATTGAACCTTTTTGCTCCCAATTTTCTTGCTAAATTAACTTCTTGATATATTAAAATTTATTTCTGCAACCTCACGCCTTTTAAATGTTCACAAAAACCACCTAAGTGAATTTTTTTTCCTTTTAATATGTTCTTCTGAAACCAATCATGAAAATGAAATTTTAAATCAAGCATGAAAACACACAGTATTCCAGTGCCTTGTTTAGAGCCTGTTTGGTATGGAGTTTGATTTTCTACAATAAATCAATTCTCATTTTCAATCACACATTTTTCAATAAAATAATATTTTCCATGACATCAATAATTT